CTGGTGGCTTCCCAGCGTCTTCACATGCTGCTTGTCCTGGCGGTGGCTACAGTGTCTCTCCTCTCAGCCTTCCACTTCCCAGAATTCTCCTCTCTCCTTGTCCCACCTACTTCCTGCCTCGTCACTGGCCACCAGTGTTTTATTTATATAGAACAATATCCACAGCAAGTGTGTCCTTTAGGAATCTTTTTCTCTCTGTCTGTCTGTCTGTCTGTCTGCTTGTCTGTCTTTCTTTCTGTCTGTCAGTCTGTGTATGTCTGTCTCTTTCTCTCTCTCTTTCTGTCTGTCTTTGTCTGTCTGTCTGTCTGTTTCCCTCTCTCTCTGCCTTCCTCCCTGTGTCTCAAATCTTTTCTCTTGGTGTTTACTATTGTGGGATGGTCTATAGGTTAAATGTGTTGCTCTGATTGGTCAATAAATAAAACAATGATTGGCCAGTGGCCAGGCAGGAAGTATAGGTGGGACTAACAGAGAGGAGAATTGAGAGCCCAGGAAGGCAGAGAGAGACAATGTCACCTGCCACCATGACAAGCAGCATGTAAAGATGCTGGTAAGCCATGAGCCATGTGGCAAAGTACACATTAATAGAAATGGGCTAAATATAAGAGTAAGAGCTAGACAATGATAGGCCTGAGCTAATGGACAAGCAGTTTAAATAATGTAAGAGTCTGTGTGTTTATTTTATAAATGGGCTCTGGGACTGGCAGGACTTGGTGGGAGCTGGAGAGAAATTCTCCAGCTACAGTTTACTTTGTCCATTAGAGGGTAACCAGATCTCTATTGGTTGTTGTCACTGCACATGAGCAGGTAGACTATAGATTACTGAAGCCGAGAAGTTCAATTATGACTCAGTGAAATACACACACCTCTGAGTGGTAGCTCACAGCCTGTCATTGGGACATAGACACTAGTGTGGACAAACTCAATGGGAAGAATTGTAGACAGCATAAATTCACTTACTGATACTGAGCTATGGACTTTAAAAGTTTTAAATGCTGATTTTTTTTACAGATGTTTGATCACAGTTTTTTTTAAAGATAAGGTTTAAGTCTTTGGATGCCATCTACAGAAAAAAACATAATTCTAAAATAATAAATTTTATAGATGAAGATTATGAGACACAGTGCAAGTGAAACAATCAGGACTCGTGCTGTGATTTCTTTGTGTGTGTGTGTGTGTGTGTGTGTGTGTGTGTGTATCTGTCTATTCATATAAAACATGTTCAGGAACTTATATATATCTGATTTTAGGGCTGAACATTTGATAGTGGATAACCAGTTGAGGAACACTTCCCAAGGGAAGACTATTCCTTTTTTTTATTAAGATTTTTTTTCATTCATTTTACATACAAATCAAAGATCCCCCTCTTCCCTCCTCCTGAACCCCCAGCCCTCCCCTCCCAACCCACCCCTCACTTCCTCCCACAAGAAGGCAAGGTCTCCCATTGGTAGGCACATCCAGTAGAGGCAAATCCAAGCCTTTCCCCCTGCCTCAAGGCTGCATGAGGTGTTGCATCTTAGATAGTGGTCTCCAAAAAGGCTGCTCATGCACCAGGCATGGATTCTGATCCTACTGCCAGGGGGCCCCCCAAGCAAATCAAGGTACACAATTGTCTCACCATGCAGAGGGCCTAGTCCAGTCCCATGCAGGCTCCACAACCATTGATCCAACTTTCATGAGTTCCCACTAGTTTGGTTTGGTTGTCTCTGCAGGTTTTCCCATCATGATTCTGATGCACTACCCACTCATAAGTGGATACTAGATATAAAGCAAAGGATAACCAGACAACAACCCACAACTCCAGAGAAGCTAGCTAACAAGGAAGACCCAAAGAGGGACACATGGACCACCCTGGGAAGGGGAAATAGATGCGATCTCCATGAGTAAACTGGGGATGAGAGGACAGCAATGGAGTGTAGGGAGTGGGGATGAGAACATAAGGGAATGAAATGGTTGAGATGGAACAGGGATAAAGTGTGAAAGCAATGAAAGAGATACCATGATAGGGAGAGATATCATGGGGATGGAGAGAAACCTGGTGCTAACGAAGTTGCCAGGAATCCCCAAGGATGACCCCAGCTTGGACTATTAGAAGTAGTGGAAAGGATGCCTGTACTGAACTGGCTTACCCCAGTGATCAGATCAGTGAGTACCCTAACTGTCATCACAGAGCTTTTCTCCAATGACTGATGGAAGCAGATGCAGAGATCCACAGCCAAACACCAGGCAGAGCTCCAGGAGTCCTGTGAAAGAGAGAGAAGAGGGAAGACTATTCTGCTTTCAGCATTCCTTAGTTGCTTGTAGTTCTTTGTCTAGGGTTGAAGCCTCATGAACTTCCCCTTTCCTGTTAACATGTCTATTGGTGTTGGGCTTGCTTGGATCTTACTTAAGCAGCCATGTGGTTGAGAGTTCATGGATGGAACTCCCCTGACATGCCTAGGAGACTCAATGTCACGGAAACTTGCTGTTCCTCTGGCTTTTAACAATCTTTCCTCCATCTCTTCCATGATGATCCCTCAGTCTTTGGTGCAGGAGTTGTGTTGTAGATGCATCAGTTGGGACTTGACATCATATAATTACTTTTTCTCTGCATTTTGATCAGTTGTAGTTTTCTGTGATGTTTTCTCTACCTGTTTCAAAACTTTCCTTGATGAGGCAGTGAGGACTTCATTTACCTGTGTGTATAAGGATAAATATTAGAATGTAGTTAGAGATTATTCTGGTTTAGTAAAGTGGCAATTTTATGTTTTCCTCTGAGATCCCTGACCACACTAGCCCTGGGTAGTGGGCTAAGCAGCAAGCATGGAACCATCTCTTCAGACCGTGTGTGATTTTTGTCAAATAAACATCAATCACAAATGAACAGAAAAAATGAACCATATATATAGCTAGACTGTGATGGTTCCTTCCTGTAAACCCTGCTGATTGTGGAGTTAGAGAGTGGGTACTACAAAAATAAGCAAGAGTCTTGAAATAAGACCATCGTGGAACTGAATCTCAAGCTAAATTCTAACTACTGAGTGACTGAGTGATTTGAAGATTCACTTCCTTTTGTCCTTCCCTTCCTGTACTAGGTTTGTTAGTTTACTTATTCATTTATTTATTTAGTAATGAGGATGTTACATGCTTGGTGCAATAAATGGCCTCAAAAAAACATTGACAGTTATTTCAGAAAAAAACCTATTCTTTCCTGGAGGGCATTGTCAGTTATCTTATAGTATGGACGTGTGGGAAACTAGAACTGTAAACTATTGTTAACTTTAAATCTGTCATAGCTTGCAGTTTTCTTTATTCATAAAACATAGCTAGGCATGGATGGTAGGGAGAAGAACATCATAAAATATAGTATTTGGTGCTAATGAAAAAAGTGTAATGCATGTGGCAGGACTGTCGCCCACATTAGATCAATGTCAGAGAAACGAGGGCTTTTGCTGTGGTCCTTCGCCAAAAGTCTGATTGGAGAAGCACGCATACATATGCTGACATGTCTTGGTACTGTAGAACTCACTGAGTTTACCTCTCTCTTCAGACATTTGCAGGAAACATGAATGCTGATGGTGTGGTGCACCACAAGCTGCTCCACTCCGTGAGAACCCGATTTGTTCGCTTTGTGCCATTGGAGTGGAATCCGAGTGGGAAGATTGGCATGAGAGTGGAGGTCTATGGATGCGCCTACAGTAAGTACCCACATGTTCAAAGTCACACAGCTGAGGGGGTGAATGATGTTGCCCATGCAATACACGATTATTCATATGGGTAATTATAATTTGTGTGTGTGTGTGTGTATATGTGTGTGTATGTGTGTGTGTTTGTGTGTGTGTGTGTGTGTGTGTGTGTGTGTGTGTGTGTATTCATGTGGGGGGGTGAAAAAGCAGGGCAGACAGAAATCTCCAGTGAACAGTCCATCATCTTACCTAGTATTTTTCACTTGGTATGGAACTTCCAGCTGGGCCTATGCTGGCTTACCAGTGACCCACCGAGGTTTGTCATTCCCATTTCCTCGATGCTGGGATTCCTAATGTGCACATCCTCACCTCCAACTTGATGTGGGCTTTAGGAATGGAATTCAGATCTTCATGCTTGCCAGGCTAGTACATTCAAAGCATAGCTATTTCCCCAGCCTGTAGTTATCTCATTTTATTCTAGACTTTAAATAATGCACACACACACACACACACACACACACACACACACACACACACACACACCTATATGAAAATGTGTACATCTGCTGAGAAGTAGAAATGTTCTTATACTCTGCAGGGGTCTATAGGATGAGGGAATAATGCAATAAAGCCTCAACAAAAAGTTCAAAGTTAAGAACTCTTGGGACTTGAGTAACCATTGGCCATTTGCAATCAGAAATAGTTATGCTCAGCTTTTCCCCTAAAGTGTGGTGATGTACTGAGAAGTTCTTACTCTACCCTAGAAGCATGAAAGGAGCCTTCTCTCTTTCTTTGCTTTCTAGAAGAAAAGGAAATTTGCACCCTAGGTAAATCATGCGGTTCTCTTCTTCTGCAATCATAGTATCCATGTGTTATCCTGGGAGGTGTTGATAGTGAACTTGAAGTAGGGATCCACTGTAAGCATAAGGAGGCTGTAACATGGAAAGAACTGAAGAGAGTTACAGAAGAAAGGAGTCATGGGGGAATGCTGCTATCCTACTTCTCTCCTGTAAGCATGATGCTGAACATGGGAACTGTGTCATTATAAATTGATTTCCTTCTTTTAAGCAGTGGCATTCATGTGATTATTTGCTATATCAATATCCAATGATGTATAAGTAGTGAACTGACTCTATCAACACACTTTTTTAAAACTGTAGTTATCTTAGCTCTCTTTCCTATTAATGAGATAAAATACCTCAACAAAGCGGCTTAAAAGGAAAGGAGATATTATTTCGGCTCACTGTCTCGAGTTACAATCCGTCATTGCCAGGCAATTAAGGTGGCAGAAAGCTGAAGAGGTCAGTCACATCACACTGACAGTAAGAGCAGAGCAAAGCATGCAGCCCACATGCTAGACTCAGCTTGTTCCATCACTCTCAGCAAGGGAGGGATACCCTCCTCAGGCAGTGGAGCCACCCAGGGTGGGTGTGTCCTCACATAATCAAAATAATTCTCCCACGGACATGGCCACAGGCCACCAAATCTAAACACTCCCTGACTGAAGTTCTCCTCATAGGTGATTCCTTGCTGTCATGTAGGCAATGAAAACTATCACAACAGTTCAGTGAATTTCTGGGTTGCGTCATGGGAGGAGCTCACGTATGACACACTAGTGCTGTTCATCAAAACCAGGTCAAAACAGCACTGGCCTCAGAAGCATTTGAAGTAATCCATGAAAATGCATTTGTTTCCCCAATGTCATAAGCACTGAATTAAGATTTGGGGGAATGAAAATACAAAATACAGAATGTTAATTGCTCCTCGGGTAAACTGTAAGTTAAGGTATTTCTGTCAGAAAAGTGAAGCCCTGTGGGGATTTTTTGGAGAAATGACTGTATTTACTGTGAACACGCACTTTGAGAAAGAGTATGATTTATGAGAGATGCGTTGACAGTCTAGTCAAGGAAGGACCTTGCCACCTGCAGTCTGGGGCCTTTAATTTCTTCTGTACCTCGTCTCTTAGTGAGGACCCTTTATCACTTCTGGGAAGAGTCTGTGGCTGTTGTTGTTCGTATTTGCTTACTTATTTGTTAAGAAACTTCATGATGAAAAATATTTGAAAAAGTTTATTTATGTTATTTATACAGTGACCTCTTTGGGTCTAATAATTTCAATTACATTTTAGAGAGAGAGAGAGAGAGTGTGTGTGTGTGTGTGTGTGTGTGTGTGTACATGTCCACACACATCAATGACATCACGGTGTGCATGTGGAGGTCCGAGAACAACTACTGAGAGTCTGTTCTCTCATTTTACCATGTGGATCATGAGGACTGAGCTCAGGTTATAAGGCTTGGCAGCAAGTATGCTTACTCACTAAGAAGTCATTGCTAGCCCTGGTCTAGTGAATTTTATTAGTCTTTCAAATGTCTCCATATTTTAATTTTTTCCCAAGAACATTTTTCATTATTATACCTTTCATCCACTTATCCTGTATGCCCACCCCAAAGGATCATGGTTTCACTTAGATTATAGCTGTTACTTTTAGTGTATATGTGTATGTGTGTGTTGGTGCCCTTTGTCTGTACAGGATTGCCAGTACATGTATGGGCATGTGTGTAGAGGCCAGAGGTCAACATCAGCTGTCCTCCCACAGTTACTGCTCACCTTGTTTTTTGGAGACAGGACCTGTTGCTGGCCTGGGGCTTGACAGGCCAGTGTACCCTAGGGATCACAGTCTCTCCCTCCCAAAGGCTGGACCTATAAGCACATATAACCTCTCCTGGGGCTTGACTAATAGGCCAGGCTGGCCAGACAGTGAACCCAGGTCTCTGCTTATCTCTCCCTTCCCAGCACTGGGCACATACCATCAGCCCAGCCTTCTCCCCACTGGCCTGGGGATCAAACTAATGCCCTTGTGTTTGTAAGACAAATGCTACCTACGGAGCTAGCTCCACAGCCAATAAGCTACCAGGTTGGAAGGTATCCTTGAGCAACATTTTAGTTTTCTCCAATGATGGACTCATTCATAATCTATGCCAACTAAGTATCTCCTCCCAAGAAAACATGTACTTTTTTTCTGAAGTAGAAATTTACCCACAGATCTGCTAAACCCGACTCTGGTTCAATCTAAGATACTCCTGACTTTGTGGGAACCCAGGCCTGCACCCTCCACTGCAGGCTCCCCTATATCTAGTGAATTATCTAAAATGATGGAGTTTACCCAGTAAAACTGGCCATCAATTGGGTGTTAGCCACGTTGGGAAGCTATTTAAGACAGAATGAGCTTCCTAGTTTTATACTAGTAGCTGGCATTGATTTCCCATGATCCTACACATATGTCTCTCTGTATGAAAACCCAAGCCCTCACCATGGCTTCTGGATCCAGTCTGTTCTAGTTTGTTCCTCTGTTGATATGCTAAAACACTGACCAAAGCAACTTGGGGTAAGAAGGGTTTGTTTGATTTATAGTACATGATGGAGGACAGCCAGAGCAGGAGCTCAAGGTAAGAACCTGGAGGTAGAACCTGAAGTGGAATCAATGGAGGAATTATGCTACTGGTTAACTCCCCAGCTCATAGCCACCTTTATTCTTATATAGTCCACACCCAACTGCCTAAGAATGGCACTGCCCACAGTGGGAGGAGTCCTCTTTCATGAATTAGCCATCAAGAGAATGTCCCATGAATATGTGTACAGGCAGATTTTATGGAGGGCATTCTTTTCAGGCATGTCAAGTTGACAACTGAGAATAGACACCACATGCACAACCTTCCACCATCACTATATCCCCATTTGTCCCCAGACTGTTCCCATTAACATAAAACCCTGCCATACATGCCACCAAACAACCCTAACCAAAGACCCTGTGGCCCTGTTTAGGACCTCCCTCTCCTTTTAATCATCTTCTTTCTACACAATGCTTTTTCTAAAATCTGTCCTTAGTTATTGCTCTCTGTCCCTGCCTCTATTTGCATAGAACTTCACCAAAGTCTTTAGACAACTGAGGGTTAGCTGGATGGGTCAACTTGGCAGGGCTCTAGCCCCAAGGTATACAGCCACATACTGTTCTAAAAGTTGCTGAGATGTTGTATAGGTTAGGTCTGTAACCAGTTGATTTTATTTATTTGTTTTTACTTTTAATTTTATGTGTATGGGTGTTCTACCTCCATGTGTGTCTATGTACCACACGAATGCCATGCTCAAAGAAGTCAGAGAAGGGCATTGGATCAGTTGTGAGCTGCTGTGTGGGCACTGGGAATTGAACCCGAGTCCTCTGGAAGAGCAGCCAGTACTGTTTGCCTCTGAGTACGCTCTCCAGCCCTGTAATCAAGTGATTTTTAAATAAAGGGGATAACACACCATAGTCTGAATGAGTTTGATTCAAACAGTGGGCTGGTGAAAGAGCAGAGCTGAGATGTCAGGATGAGGAAGGCAATCTCCATTTGGACAGCACCTTCAGCTCCTCCCAGTTTCAACCCATCAATGAAGGGTCTGCTCTGTGAAATTCACACTGGCTTAATTCTCCTGACGATGTATAAACACTCTACTTACTGTTTCTATGAGATAACTTTCCATCAAGACTTGCCAATGGCCTCCACATAGCCAAATAACATCCACTGTCATTATTTCAAGCTACTATTTGACCTATTTTAAAAAGCATCTTTAAGGCTGGAGAGATGTCTTTGTCAATAAAGTTCTTGCTTGCTGAGCATGGTGACCTAAAGTGACTCTCCTGAACAGATGTTTAAAAGAAAAAGAGTTGGGCCTGCCAGCATGTACCTATGATCCCAGTGCTGAGGACACAGATTCAGAAGTGGCTCTGAGGCTTGCTGGGCAATTAGTCTGGCCAATTTTAGAGCTACAGGTCTGTGAGAGACCCTGTCTCAAAAAATAAGGAGAAGAGTTATAGAAGAAGATACCCAATATTAACCCTTTCCTGTGTCCTCCTCAAATTAGACACCCAGACACGTACACACACACACACACACACACACACACACACACACACACACACACCACTTACAACACACAACACACACACACAAACACACACATACACACACACATGA